TTTAAATTATCGATCTATCTTATACGTTAATAATAATAAAGTTAAATATAAATTAGACTCAAATATGAAAATTATTTTATCAAAGTTATTTATTGAAGTGGTTATTTTCATTTCTTATATCGATTGTGCGATAACTAATTTCCGGAAATTAAGATCTATATGCGATGATGATAGGCCTCGAATTTCCTTTAGTGGTATTTGCTAATAAACTCATTTCCGGCCTGAATATGAACGCATCTGAGATTCATTTAGCTTCTCTCGTGATCGATTTTGGAAAACGTGAAATTAATCCAAGAGATAGACCATATAACGATATTAATATCACATTTGAAAAAAACCAATATTAACTCTATAATTAAGCTCATCAATAAAATTTGAATATCGATCCCTTATATCAATCTATCGCATTAGAATAAATATGAAACGGTATTATTTCTTTAAAAAAAAAAAAATTGTTATCCCTTCATTTTCAACAACAAATTTGCTTAATTTAACTATTCTTCATTATAATCAATTTTTACCATCGTGTCAACTTCGACGCGAAGTGCGTAAAATTAAATTAGAAAACAGACGAAAGATAACGCATTTAACTTCCACATTTCTATCGTCCTAACTGTCTCTAAAGACTTTACAGCCACGTAATATCGTCAGATACGAGATCGTGTCAATCAATGCCCGGATAGGGCGCATCTGTCCTTAATTTGACTTCTCGTCACGTACGAGGCTCGCACTCTCGATCGAACACGTTAGACCTTATATCGCAAACAATGCACGACCGAAAGAGAGAAGGAGTGGAAGCAGCGCGTGTGTGCATATGATTAGAGACTCGATCACGCGATCTCCGGCAGCAGATGCACCCGGAAAGAAATCAATTTGCATTCCATCGAGAACTTGAAGGTGATACGGGCACTAACTTGTTACCGTTGAAAGAAACACAACCACGATGCAGAGAATGATAAGTTTGCATTGGATCGGATTTCCAGTCCATCTATTTCTTTTTTTTACTTTTTTTTACTTTTTTCCAATACGATCATTGACCTTTAACCTTCTATATTGCAATGCCTATTGCTGCAAGTTCAAATTTCTCGAAATAGGTTTCGTTTGTTTCAATCTCTAGAATCGATTCTCCAAAGAATATATTCCATGAATATATTAACACTCTATCTGCTAAAGCAACTTTTTTACGGTCCACGGTTTTTGGTTTTCATTTAGAAAGTGCATTCTCTTGCAAATGAGAAAATATACCAACTTTTCTCGTCGTCATTTTTGGAAAGTGGATTCTTTCTAGATTAGGAGGAAAAAATCTTTTTGGTTGGTTTCACAAACCAAAGTAGAACAGAGCGAAGTTCTGATCTTGCATCTAGATTTTTGGATTTAAAGAAATTGGAATTACAGAAGGAATTCGTGAAGGAAGAATGGTTTCGTGTATGGGTATAAGGGCAGGTGTGAGGGGGGTGGCTGGGTTACCAGGGTCCACGCTATCGATTTGTCGAAGCTGTACAAGAGAAAATGTGTAGCAGTGTATTGTCTCCTCGTGTACTACATGTGCTTCCAGACACGACAAGCCTGATCCAATTCTTGACTGGTAATTTTCGATCGATTCAAGCACCCTGTGCTCGTTTGCAAACGTTGATAGGGATCAGATTGGATTGCTTCTCTGCTCTATGATCGTTATGAAATTTATAAGTGCTTTATATTATTGAAAGGTAACGATCGTGTTAATTCCACTTTGTTATATTCTGTTTGTGAATGAAACTTTATCGTTAGAAATAGATTGGATTTATCAATTATAAGAGGAGGATTCGAATTAATAAATTGATAAAAAAAATTTCAATCAAAAATTAGGTCATGAATTTGAGTTTTATTTTGTAAGAAATTTGATTTAATAGAATGATCGAATCGTTTCAGTTGTTTTTCCCCCTTGTACAAGTTAACTACACGGGATTTTGATTTTCAATCGAATAAATCAAATCCGGCAACGCGAAATACATTTCGATTAACGCATCAAATATTTCCTCGTACATTAAGCAATGAAATATCGTCCACTGATGGCCAACAGGCTGAAAAACAATTTCACATTCGCCAACCTAGACAGCTGTACATGTTACTTGATCACGCACGGGAAAGCATAAACGATCAATAGCAATCGACTCGTTTCAAAATTCACCAATTTTCGATAAATAGGGAAACGATTAATCCGACACGATTGTTATAAGAAATACATTTATGATATAAATATCATAAATTTCAATTAATAAATATATGATTAATATACGACTCCTTTTTACAATGTCTTCATTAGAAATTATATTAAAATGTACATATTTATAAGAAATCTTGAAATAGAATTCCGTGTTAGAATGTGATGAATAGAAATTAAATTTTGTTCTCGGGATGAGGAATGTAATTAACAATTTTAAAATAACGAAATAAACGGTATATTGCTATAACAAGTTAGACATTTTTCATTTTTACGTCAAAAAAAGGAAAAAAAAAAAAATTCAACAAACTTATATCTCAAGTGGAAATGAAAAATGTCTCATTGAAAATCATGGATATTCGCGAACATTTTCTGTAACCGCTATATCATAAGAACCAGAAGCAATTCCACTTTCTGTATATTTTATGGAACTCGCGAGCTACACCCGGAATACGAGTATAACGTTACGCCAATGGTTCAATGTCGAGCAGATATGAATCATGGCTGGCGTTGCAGCGGCGAAGGTTTAACGGTGCTGCTTGTCAAAAGCGAATGCAACAATATTTGCGACCTAACAGAACTGGGTTTTGATTTCAAGCGAGTCGGCGTACGCATGGTTCAACCGATACGTGTTTCGCGTGATAGCCGATCGTCTGGTGAGTAGAACTTCTAGTCTCTTTTTTTTTTTTTTAATAACTTGTGGTATGATCTCACATGAATAAATCGCGATATATACGTAAATTATTCCTTCCGATACGATCTAAATGATCTTTCTGGTTTATGATTGGTCATAAAATATTTATTTGGATACGAGGATTTCATTCGTAATCTTATTCTAATATTTTATTTATAATTTTAAATAATTATTTTTCAATTAATATTTAATAACCTCCAACGTGTTCACGTACTATAATTTTATTTCGGTAACATAACCTAACTTTTTCTTCGCTTTCATTTATTTCATCATTCGTAAGGAAATTCTGTCATTTTCGACTATTCTTACATCATATTGAAAGGAATTCAATTGGACATCGAACTATTTCCAGCGGTATATGTTCATGAAAAGCTTCTTTTCGACGTTTTAAATAGCTTATGTGTTAGCTATTCTTGATCGATACACCTAGTATGTGATTACCTCTTTGAACCGATGCCCTTAAAGAAATTCAGGTCACAGTGCACGGTCATTCTATCTCATCTTATTTACGCTGTTGGCCAACCTCGTGTCCCGGAAATACGTCCATTAATGCTCATGACTTGACTGCCATCAGCGATAGTTCGATGTTAAAACGGCTAAGTGACTCGCGATAGGCCCATTACATGCTTTACTCTCAAGTAGTGTCAGTGGAAGAAATCTAACGAGGTCTCAAATTGAAGCATCAAGTGGCGCCACCAACTGATACAGTTGACATCTAAAGTTGCATGCAATTTTATATCTTTCAAATTCAAAAAGATATACTTTATATCTTTCAAATTCGAAATTAAAATAGCTATTTACGACAATTTTAGTCGAATTTCTGATTCTTAATCTCTCAGAATTTTTATATTAACTTCTACTGAGTCATACTAATGGAATTTTAAGTTTTAAATAGCCCATCATTCTTTTTTTTTTTTTTTTTTTCTTTCCTTCTTGAAATAGACTTTTATGAAAAAATGAGAAAAATGTATGATAAAATATCCAAACTATGATCATGTGTATAATAATGCAACAGTGATAAAATATTTATCATGTTTCATTATGATAACGGCATTCTATATATTTCAAAGTTTATACGTGTACTTATATGTTGTTTAAGTATATGATTTTTCAATATACGATTATGCATGCCTTAGTAACACATAATCAATTTTACACAAATATAAATATCAGAATTGCAAAATAATCACGTTATCAAAAATGATAATATTGTTTTCGAAGAATCAATTGAAAAATGATTTCAATTCTACTTTCTTGAAATCTTTCATGAATAAATTTACAATCCATTTTCATAAATAAAGAATTTTTAAAAGAACGAACTTAATTCTAGAGAAAGTGTATCCTTTAGAAATTTGTTCTTCATTTCTTTTACCTAGCTTTTAGAATTTTAAACGGAATGAAATTTATTCAACAAGTTAGAAACACAAGAATATTTTTTCAATGCATGGATTACTTTAAAAAAATTTGTGTCGAGACAAAAAATTTTTCTAATTAAACGAAACAGTTATTGGACGGAAAAAAAAAAAAAAGAAAAAAAATTGTAATCGATATAAAAGTGATAAAGTGATTTTTTTTTAATCAAACAACTATGCTATCGAGCAAGACAAAAGAAAAAAATTCTCATCGAAAAAAAATCGTAATTAGAACATCATAGCAAAAGAAAGAAAAAAACATTCGATCAAAGAACATAAATGTATCTATCTACACAACTATCAAGAAAAAACGATCAAGAAAAAAATAAATGAACTACATGTACCTAGTGATGCGCCCTGAAACATTTCGAAATGGTTTCGAATTTTGAACATGATTCGATACTTAAAACCCTCGAAAGATAAGCATTAAAATTTTTCTCGAAAGCAACCTCTTGATAGATTTTTACATCCATATCCATCAACCTCTCGAAAACATTTCAAGTATCGAGACATGTTCGAAATCGATTTCCCAATATTAAAAGAAGAAGAAAAAAAAAAAAAAACTTTTCGAATAACCTCGAAATTGATCGAACGCCCATCACTGACTAACTAATCTCGCGTTTATGCGTAACAACAACGGGATGACAACGATCAGAGGCACGAATAGAACGTCACTGACTCACCACATGAGACCTATGATGCTGATGATGCATAGTATGATGATGATGATGTCTCTTCTCCTTAGCGTGATGCTTGGCATGATGCTTGCTGCCCCTGTGCGGTGGATAAGTGTGATAAAAGATTAGGTCGAAGCAAGGCTGGCGTCACCTGACCTCGGCCATCTCGCACTTGGCCACCTCTATCTGCCTGTTGTTCGGATGATTCTGATGGCCTGGCACCGTCAATTGGGCCGGGCAATTGTTGTGCATCTTTCTAGCCGCGTTCCCGGCCGCCGCCATAGCCGTGGCGACCACGTTGCTCGTCCCTTTCTCGTCGTTCTGCGCCGCGTTCTCCAATGTCAGATCGTTCTCGTCCAAATCGACCGTGAACGCGATACGATGACGGGCGGGCAGCATTTTCACGTTCGAGCCGATCGGTGTCACCGTGGTCGCTGGATCCAGCTTCACCAGGGCCGCTTGCAATTCCAGGGCATCCATGCTGTCGCTTGATCACGAGCGTACAATCCAGCCTAGCGAATCTCTTCGAAACGATCTTAACGGGTGTGAATCGATTGCCCGAGTCGAGGCGGGCAAACGCGATCCGTCAACACTGTCGAACGATAATTCAGTTCCCTGATTTATCGGCCAGATAACGGGTGACGCTGAGCGAAAACGCTGCTTCTTCCATTTGAGGCGGCAACCATCCACGTTCCTCGGCCACCTCTTATCTCGGCCTCTCCTCTTTCTAGCACGAACCGCTACACCCGCGACCTACGTTTCTACCTTCACATGGATATTTCGAGAAGCGGGGCAGGATTATGGAACCAGTAGTAGAAGGTTCACCCATGAATTCTCATCCGTCGTGGAACGAATCATCACACAAGTATGCCCGCTATTTTTATTTTGTTTCTGGGACGCTGTGTGTGGAACGATCACGCCTTTCGTGTCGTTCAGGGGAGACACTTTATTTTTTCGCTCCTTTCGTTTACCTCCACGATATCACTCACGCGATCGTTTTCCGATCTGTCGAATGGTTTACGAGATTTCGCCACTTTGAAAAGTGTCAGTACAGGTCTGCAAGGAAAGAAACGTGATGTTCCCGGTCACGTAAATCGAGAAAATCAGGTTCACTATATTCTGTCCAACGAGTAGTCAGTTCGCTGTTTCATAGTAGGTGTACGTGTCCCATTTAGGACCGGGCCGAGAGAAAATTTATATATGTTTTTGATATATCAAATTGTCGGGAAAAGAAAGTAGAATTTATCAAAAAGTTAATCTTTCCTGAAGAGAAAAATAATTCGTTAAACTCTAGTTATTTAGACGAGAATTTGATAATAATTGTGCATCCCGAGATAAAATTTTTTGTAAAGATTAACAAAATTGTTTTATCAAAAATATTTATCGATACTTGCACCTATCTTACACTACACAATCTAGAATTTCTTTTTACATTTATTACACAACTAAAAAAAAGTATTTTTCTCGCATCAAGATTTTCAATTAATTAACATTTGTCTCAAAATAGCTAAAACTGTCTATGATATCACGTAATTTGTACGTGAATGTTTCAATTATCTTAACTCTGACGTGATTCGTTGAACAAATTATAACTCGTTCCTCGACTTTACGTGACATCGATCGTCGCCGATCTCGTGGACGTCGTTTGAAAATATATTTTCTACGCTCTCGTCGCAGGCTGCACGCGACTTCCACGCATCCTGAACAATAGCAACTCGAGTAGGCATCCAAGATCCGCCTCGTCATCGCGATTATGATTCTGGTTGGCGCGAGATCGCGTGAGACCGCTTCGTTACGCATCGTTGAACGATCCTCGAGATTTAACATAGGGACCATGTTGTATTTCATCGTTTTATACTCGTACACGCCGTATCGAAATGGACGAGATTATCCTCGAAGATAAGATGGGATGAAATGAAAAAAAGCTAGCTATCCCTGTGCCTCGTTATTGAATCTTGAAAAATTCTAAAAATTCGCACAGACTGAGATACAATCTCTAGAAACGATAGAATTTAAATTCTATTTTAATCGGCACCGTTATTAAGGTGCTACTTCCGATTAAATCTTGGGATTTTGTTTGAACGTGAAATCCGGATACCGAAGAGAATTGTGAAAGAGTTTTCAATAAATGATTCTATTATGGTGTTTTGATAAATCAATGTATGAATCTTTCATGTTTTAGAAATTAATCAAATTCCTTTCTGAGATATGTGCAATTATCTTAGGCTTACAGTTTTGTAACATTTTTAAAATTATATAGAAAATTAATTTTTAAAGAACTTAACAACAAATAATATGTAATAAAGATGATACGATTCGAAAAACAAAGCGATAAATAATCACAAATATCCATAATAAGCTCGATTCTTTTCTAAATCATAAAAAAGAAAATTATAAAAAATATTTGAAATTATTTAATTTCTTCAAAATTTTATTTTTTTTTTAAATACTGATTATGGATATAAGAATATTAATTGATCAAATTAATATCCTTATTAATATTCGATAATAAACCGGTTTGTTATCTTTTATCAATATTAATTAATTAGGATACTGGATAATTACTAGGATAATTAGAAAATTGGATTAAACGATACGATATACTGTTCTTAGCAATTGTATCCAAATCTTTCAGAATAATGAAATATATCATTATTATTCAAATTTTTTTTAATATTATTATTATGTTAATATCTTCTCTTTTTTTTTTAATTTAATTAAAATTGATGACTCTAAGTTATGACATCTGCTCACTGATCGATTGATGAGAAAATGATAAAATCGTACTGAGTGGATGAGAGAAAAGCTGAAATAGAAAGCTTCAATTGATGGATATTTTTTACATATGATTGATGGAGATTCAAGCGATTTTACATGATTCATGTGAAGAAAAAAGAGATAAAACCAAACAAGCAACGATACTTACTTTACGTTGCTATGAATTATAAAATTCATATAAAAAATAATTACAAGCAATTGATAATTCAAACTACTGGTTAAAATAATTTAATTATACTTGATTTTAAAATATATTATAATATATTATAAATTTAATACTTGAAATTTTAGAATAATATTAGAAATGCAATTACAAAAGCAGCAAATATAAAGCAAAAGGGATTAACTTAATATTTTCATTTATTTACATGATTTAATTTTTACTTTGAATTTGAGGATTTGTTATACAGCATGAACTAATATTGTTTACCAAAAAAAGCAATAATTAAGATATTCAAACAAATTTATCAAGATGATAATAAAATATTCAATAAAATATAAATTTCTAAATTATAATATCATAAAAATGTAAAAGGCAATGCAAAGGTAAAAGGAATGCAAAAGGCTCATAAGCTATTAAAATAAAATATAATATAAGAGGAAATCTATATTAGATTATAATTATAACAAAGAAAAACATAATCAATACATATAAATTACTTGTCATTTATCCATTGCTTTAAGTGATAATATATTTTATTTATAAATTAATTTAAAAACATTATTAAAAATATCCTGTATTTTTAATTATTATTAATTTTAATAAGATATAATAACTTACAAATGTTTATTATGATAGTTCATGTAACCTACAACAAACTATATAGAGAAAAAAATAAGAAAAAAATAAGAAAAAAATAACCTGAAAAAATTCATATTTTCCATTCAAATATCGAATATATATATATATATTTCCGATTTGCAACAGGAGACGCAAACGTGATTCACTCGAAACTGTCGGCACAGACAGAAAGTAGAAAATTGCATACAACATCCTAGATACAGGATACCTTATGCTGCACTTTATAATGGCCGTTTTTTTTTTTTTTTTATATAGAAAAATTGTCTGAAATACAAGACTTCTTTTTTCGAATGTAAGTGGATTCAGTCTTTATGAAATGCAAAAATCGCTCATAATAATCAATATATAACTTCTAAGTTTACAAATTCTATACTTTCTGTGAATTTGATTAAGTTTTATGATTTTTGATTTGAAGTATCTCTAATAAATAAGTTATGAATTACAATATTTTCTATTTTTCTTTCTTATAAAATGTATTTATGGATAAAAAAGAAATTCTGTGAAAAAAATTCTCTCATCAAACACTTTTAATTTTATAATAAATGAATCCATTAATAGTATTAATAATATTAATTATAAATTAAATAATATTAATTTTGTATTTCTTATAAGTTAACCTAACATTGTCATCAAGTTTTTCGTTTTTTTTTTTGTTACCCTAATAATTTAATATTAATATTATATTACCTTTTTTAGTAAATATGCTTTAAATATAAATTTATAAAAACAATATATTTATTTCATTATTCAATATTATCAAATCATTATACGATTTCCCATTTATATGTTAATTATAATGTTTCTACATAACCTATACAGTAACAAAAAAATTATAAAAAAAACATCTCTGAAGGACAACTGAGAAGAAAAATCCTTATTTTATTCGAACTAACATCAATAAAAATTAAAGAAAACCAATGAACCAAACAATTTTAAGTTTTCATTTGATCATTTTCCGTGAAGATCTTCACTGTTGTCCTTGAAGCGAATAGCAATTAAAAGCGCCTATTCCACGAATTATCTATTCGTGAACGAGTCAGCAGCAGACAAATTTTATACCGGCTTTATGGAATTTTATCTTGCTTTATGTTTGATGCAGGTATTCGTGAAAGGAATTCCAAGGGCACTAGTATCTGAACCTCGAAAGGACGGTCAACGCACTATGGTTTTCTTTGTGCGATTCAGCCGCATTTCTAAATCGTTTCAACGTACCATTGAAAAGCGGTTCAATTCTGGAGACACGAAGAACGCCCACAGAGAATCAGCAGCATCTACTTTCGACAATCCAACATGTCTAGTAGTTTTTATAAAGTTTCAATGGAATTGATTTTCCTCACTTTCAAGTTGATTGAAAAGAAATAATATTATGTTCTTTCTTGTTTTAGGTTAGGTTTGGTAGATTCGAAGAATGAAAAAATTGTTGAAAACTATTTTACAACAAATTATTTTAATATCTAAACAAATTATTTTCTTATCTCAAAAATGATCTATATAATGGGAAAAAACAAATATAGTCATAATGAAACCACATGTATTTATAACCTGCACGCCATAAGGTATTATAAATTAACCTAGTATCTCATCTATAACGAACAGACAAAAACTAAAATACAATCTGTCTTCACGTTAACGCCTAAAGATTGATCACGCCTATATTTTCCATTCGAGAGGAATATAATTACCGATTGAAAAAGAAAATCACAGGATATCCCGGATGACGAAGCTGAATCGATCGTTAAAGATGAAGAGATTAAGTTAAATGTTCCAAACAAAGGATTTCGAACTGGACAATGGCTTCTTTCGCCCTCGATGCTTCTAGTGACCTTTGTCGCAGAAAGAGAAAGCGAATAATCAGAGTAACAAGGAACCATAACACGATAGATGGGTCTTCAGCAACTATAATGATGTTTTCTCGTTGTGGTGCGACCAATCGTGCAACGGTAATTAAAGGGCGTGGAAACTAGGTGGCTGTGCGCTTGGCTACCAGGCCATTTTTTTCTTTCGACACAAATACGATGAAAAATACGTCGCATATTGTGCACATTGAAAAAAACACCACACTGTGTATAATACTAGGTGGTAAGCGCAGAAAATTTTCACTCAATAGTGAGAAACTTGGTGTTGCGAAAGAAAATAAGCCAAAATCTTTCTCTCTCTTCTAATAATCAATCATTTAATATGCAAAATTAATTAATGAAAGAATACATTAATTTTCATCATTGTCATTTTAATATAATATGATATTTCACATTGTAAATTGTAGAAATAAAATTATAAAATAATTTTAATAATTAATATTTTTAATAATATAAAATTTTCAAATGAAATCAAGGATTCTTCTTGAAATATAATTACATGATAAAAAAATAATTATACTTAACTTTTTTCTGTTTTAATAAATGTCAATTTAAGAAGAGTTATTGATTTTTAATTGAAATTTAATAACTAAACTTTTGTTTATATATGTATAAATACATATGAAATAATCAATATTAAATTTAATTAAATTTTAGTTAAATTAAATTTGATAATTTAATCTTGTGCATTACAAGTAGTATTATGTAAATTAATATTATAATTATAATCAACTTTGAATTTAAAATTAAGCTAAATAATAATTAAATGTGATTCTTCAATTAAAAGAAAAAAAGTTTATTATAGGAAGCTTTTATTCAATCAAAGCTTAAAAGAATTCAATAAACACCACTTCTTTTTGTCCAATTACTAATTGGCTTAACTTAAGGGGACTCACTTTTTTATTCATTCTTTTCTTTCGTCCAATCTTTTATTTAATTCTCATTAATTGAAATAGCATTGAAAGAAAGCCGATAAATATGTACAATTGAAATATTTATTTTTCATAAATTGTTAATATTATCTATATTATTCTTCCAAAATTTACATTTATATCTACTTTTTATTATTTTTTATGATTTAATCTTCCTCAAAATACACAAGCAATCAAGCTAAATCAACGAAATCATACAAAATTCGTGTCAACATAACCTACTTTACGAAACCTAATCAACTAATTCACAAACGCTTCCTTCGAATACCCTTCAAATATTCCTAAACCCAATTCAACAGAATTCCCAAACACACATCTCAAATATCCTTAACCTCCTCCTTATTCGCAAATATTATTCTCCCATCTTTCCTAACCTCTTTCCCCGCTAACTTTTATTTCTCCAGTTTCTTATTTAAGAAATTACGAGCACACATCGAGACACTATCTGTTCTGATATCAATATCGATAAACAGAAATGGGAACGAAGTTTCTGGATTTTCTATTAAACTTACTTCACTTTCTGTACGTGTACATGAATGTGTGCACCACACGTCAAGAGGTAAAGTTACAATCATCGAGGCTATTCGGCCATTACAGGATGTTGGATCGGTAACGATGGGCGGATATTTTCATTTTTCTCTTTTCTTTTCTTCATTTTCTCGAACAGAATTGACCAGCTACTCTTCACTGTGGACTTTAAGAAAGGTTACCGGATGGGGGTCAGCTGTTCTTTCAGCGTGTATCCTTCACCATATAAGTGTTAAATACAAGATCTGCGAGGTTACTAGCGAGATTAGACCTGCAACACCAATAATCGAATAATAACAAAGTCGACCAGCTTATTTCCTCTTATACCCATCTATTTCGGAAGCGGCGTTATTCTACAAGATCAGTATCAGAGGCCACCACGGTTCAAACTACATCGGTTATGATCTATATTTTTTGAAATTACTCGTTATTTTGAATGGATACTCGATGAATGGGTATTCCGGAATAGTTCAAACGTTTCTGGAAGTAATTTTAAAAGAACCAATATTTTTTGAGGTGTTGCTACGTTATTACAAGATTTTAAGGTTAAGAAATAGGTTATAGGAGTAATTGGTAAGTATTACTTCAAAGTAAATATACTATAATTTTCAGTTATATAAAAACGGTTGTTAATTAATAAACGGTTAGTAATTAATCATGATATTTAATTTAAAATTAAAATTTTAATAATATTCTTTATAAATTTAATAATATTCTTATAATACATGATACTTTACAAAACATTCTATTTAATTATGCATAAATGCACTAAATTTCTTCAATTTTTAATATAAAAAAAAATAAATAATTAATTCTTTAAGAAATAGAATTCAATTTCTTAGAATACAAATTTATTAGAATAGAAATTGTAATTAATTATTTTTTCAATATATTTTAAAAATTAGTAACTAATATTAATACTGATATAGCAATAAAATACACTGATACAAAGTTAACCAAAAATTAATTTAAATTATAATTTAATTAATATTAAAGATACTAATTAAACAACAAAATTTATAAATATATATCCCACAAATCAAAATTTTATTGTGTTATACGAAAAATGATATTGCAAAAGGAAAAGTCATCACTGACGTGTCTCGAATTTGAGGTTAATCGCGCGCAACGGATCAAAATCGATTCCACCTGACGACGTCGTCGTTCTATAGTGTCACCGGTGAACTTTCATTGTTTGTCTCCGATTACCCCCGCAATTTGTAATTTAATAATCGTCATTAATCAGCGTCATAAGTTCGTTCTCGTGTTTGAACGCCTTCGCAAAATTAACCGATGAGAAAATGGCGAAGCATGCCGTGAAGATAAAGTCGGACGCGATTCGGTCACTGATAAAAGGGTGAACGTGATTCTGAAAATGACGGCTCAAGCTGCGATTAGCCTTTCGAGTAGGTCGAGGGAAAGAAATTGCACAATGGGGCAGAAACGACGTAGGAACGACACGAAAAACCACTATTCTTGATAACGAACAATGGAGCTTTGTTTTGCTACGATACGATTACGTTGTTAACCGGTATTTTGGTGGTGTCATTTTTTTGAGACATTAGAAGCGCATAAATGTCTTTCGAGATTGATATGATACTATAAGCGATAATAAGGGTGATTTATTGATATTAGAAAGATAATTTTATGTGTAAAATGGTTAACAGTTTGTGTCCATGAAATAAATTATATAAGATTGAAGTGTAAATTAAAATTAGAAAAATATTAGAAAAATAATTGTAATGAATATTGTTACAATAAAACATGTAAGATATAAATGTAAATTGGTATGTAATATTTCTATATTTATAGATATATAAACATGTTTTCATTAATAATCGATTAGCTCATTCTTCATTGATTTTATGATCTTAATTTTAAGCAACTTTTTTTTTATTAATTGACTTTAATTATTTGCAAAAAAATTTTTAATAGCATTGAATTTGAATTATACATGTGTATCCATACCAACATATGCACGCTCAAACACATTCTAATACTATTTATGTTTTTCAGAATATTCTAACCTAATCACTGAAATAATATTGCATCGAAGTTTCTGTAAGGATCAATTAAATTTGAATAAACTGGACGATTATGCGAACACTTCCGTGTTCTGTGCCCGAAGAAAATGATTCTGAGTGCGGACGATAAAGATATGCTTGGCGAATTATCGGAAATACGATGTTGTCGTCGCATGTAACTGCGTGTAAACGTGTGCATGATCATAAATCACAAGCAGTGTAACTATGCATTTTACTTGCAACGATGGGGATGTCAGCAATACTTGAAGATTTACACGGAACATTTTCGTACTACGCTATATTTTCATTTCACAGAAAATCATAGAGAGACAGTTAAGATGATAGAAATAAAGATAAAATTAGTAAAATAAAGTAAAATAAGAAATTTAGTAAAATAAACAAGGAAGAAACTAAAAAAATAAGTAAAAAAAGGAAGAAAGAAAAAAATGAGTGAAAAAAAATCAAAGGAAAAGACAAAAATAAAGACAAGGTGAAAGGAAAATAATAAAAAAATGAAAGGAATGATAGTAATAAAGATGAAAAAGGAGAGAAAGTACCTTAGGCGCCGGATTCTCAATTTTGTCCACATAGATGTATGACGAAGGTACAGACTGAGAGAAAACGATGAAAAATCGGTAGATGGCAAAGCCCCGTAACAAACACGCGAGAGAAAATTGTAGCATTTGCAGCACGTGAGAGGATTGCATGCAGTTCGCGTAAAAGGTCTAAGAATCTATGTGTAAATATGTGAGTATATATAGGGTGAGTCACCGGATACAGGAAATCAAATGGTAATATTGTATTTCAGAGTACAAAGAAACGGTCAGGTAATTCAAATGGAACTATATGATAATTATGATATATATATGTACAGAATGATGCATGCAAGTTGAAACGGACTATTTTCTGATTCTAATTGAACGAAAATGTTAGTGGAGAAAGGTAAATGTGAACATATCTTTTAGCAAATATTATGTCATGTATGGATTATGCGGTTATCTATTTTCTTTAAATAGAATTTTGTATTTTTTCGTTACGTAAGATTATATCATTTAATTTTTTGATTTAAATATGTATCGAGATAAAGAGATTAAAAAAATACTTTCGTAAAATGTTATTATTATTGTTTTATATATTTTTATATATATATGTTTTATATATTTTTTAGGTAATCAGAATTCTCTAGGACAATAATAAATGTGCGACAATAAATTTATCAATAATACTAATAATTTACAACTTATAAATTAGAGATTATGGAATTTCACATTTCTTAAAATTCACCCTGTATACATTAAAGCAAAGAGATACTTCACCTTCAAACATGGCTGACATATCATAAGAGATATTAAGCTCGCGTAACGAAGATTGCAGCACGAAAGTTAGTAATGCTTTCTGAAACCCAGTTGAAAGATATTCAAACTGGTTCACGAGCTTTCTGCGTTATATTCATTTCCATCTTTTGCCACATGGTAAAAAGAAGAAAAAAAGAATGAGAAGAAAAAAAGAATTTGGCTCATTAGAACTTAAAATAACAGAAATGAGAAAAATTTGGAAAAAAATGATAGTAAAGAGGCTTGGATCATTGATCGAAGAATTTTCTTTTAAAAATTAATCTTCCAAGAAGAATTAATTTATTCTTAATTCGAAAAAATATTGACTTTCATCGACTTCGAATAAAAATATTTGTTTATATTTATGTTTTATAACTTTCAATAGATTAATATTCACGGATAATCGTATCAAACAAAATTGCCTATAATTTAATAAATAAGCCTCAATCAAAATTTTTATATATTAATTTTTATCATTCTTTTGGTCTCTCAAAAACTTTTCAAAAATATTCCTTCAAATATATTAATGTACAGTCTGAATGCACGTTATTTCTTAAAAATAACTCGAAGTATAAAATCAAATCAAAGAAAATCGGATACGAAACAAAACAAAATACATTCGTACCATTTCGTACAACTTCTCTCGAACAACAATCCCTGCTGTAAGAAGTTACTTTACGAAATTACTTTTCCATCGAAATTCTTTATCGAACCTCCATAAACCGAACGATTTACCGCTTTCACCGACTAAAACATCACACAGAGTATCAAGATAATCAGCCAAAGTAACATTGCTATCGGTACAAATACAAATTGCCTGACCCGTGAACTTGATTGCCTATCACGCCCAATGCAACTATTTCGAATCGTGGCCGTGTAAATCTCAAAATTCTATTCTATGCTGGCGTGTTACAACGAAAAAAAAAAAACGTGAAAAGGGAAGGCGATGTCGGTCCACATTTTGCCGTCACACATTCCCTCGCACATTCTCTGATAGGAACGCGAAATATCCGCCACCCCTTTCTCGCAAAAATCGCTTTATTGCGCGGAAAAGAGCTGGTATCGCGTGCACTTTATCGCGGATGCTCGTCAAGAGTGAATAGAGATAGCCTGGAAGTGTTCCCCGCTGTGGACAGAACCTCGATATTGGACAGCAGGTTGGCCTGATTTACATTGCGCAACCTGTGGAACGCCTGGTGGAAAAAATCGAAATTGAGGTCTGTCGAAAAAACGCGGGACCCGTTTTAATAAAAGTTTAACGATATTAGCAATAAATTTATATATATATATCGTAGAAATAGAGTGATATTTTATTCGTAAGTTTAAAACGCACGCTGTTTTTGTGTATCGATGTTAATATATTTGAAGGATCGATTCTAGAAGGCAGAAAAAAAGACGAAAATATCGATCGAGTTTTATTTGTTAAATTATAAATTTAAAAGTTGAAATTTGATGAAATGACACGTGAATAAACTTAATTGCCAATTATAAATATTTTGGCGATCGAAATATGTTAGTCTCCAAACAATTTTTCGTAACTTTCCTTCGTCAGAGTATTAATTTCGTAAGAAATTATTTTCCTGCTCTTCGTAAAATATATGAAAATAGTTTAAAACTCGCGAGACAGTAGAAAATCGCGAATAATTTTACCACTGTTTCGTAAAACCAGTCTATATATCTACGTAGTTCAATGTTTCGGCTACGTTCATCGAAGATCGTATTAAAATGCAACGATCTTGAGAGAATATAGATTCATGGGTTTTACGGTCCATTTATTTATGATACGCTTGTATTACCAACCGTGTATCGTGAATAATAATTTTTGCAAATTGAAGAAATCGGTCTTGCGTATATTATAGATATGTATAAATGTATGAAATATACTGATCCAAATATTTTAAAACAAGCTGTTGTAAATGTAATGTATATAAATAATCATAAAATTTAAGGCTATAAATAGATCGTAAAATTTCAAGCATAAAATTCAAATTTTCTTTCTTATTACACGTTACATATTTTTTTATAAAGTAAATTTTCAAAAAAACTCAAAAAAATATATACAGATTCTTGAAACGCGTATTCGACCATTTCAATGGAATAAATTTAAAAATAAATCGTGTATGAATAATGTATGAAAATTTTAGGGATAATAAATTACTAGTAAAAATGAGGCAAATTTTTAGCTCCAGATACTCCAGAATTATTAAGAGGAATTTTATTCTTGGATTAAATTCGAGATTGATATATCTGCATAATTTTCCGTGTTGTAATGGCGGGTTACGCTTGGCACGAAATTTAAAACATTTGCGACCTTTAACCAGAGAAAGTTTCAAAGAACTAAGAAATCCAAGAGATTTATTCATTGATAGGCAAAAATAATCAACCTCGTTTAAACGAAGTCGCTTAAATAACTCCGTGACATTCGAAAGATCATAAATATCGACAAAGACAAAGTAGAACACGGGAGAATAAGTGCACGAAACACTTTCAAAGTAAATTTTTATTTCAAAGAAAATTTTTCGAACATCGATAACGTTTAACGATTATATTTTTCGAATAAATTATATCCTCCATCCGATTTTTTTTTGATATTTCTTCAAAAAGCTTTTTCAAAAACGCATCTCACAATAAAAACGATACGATCTTTTCCTCGATGCTTTATTTAAAAGCAAAAAAAAAAAAAGGAAGAAATATTTCCAAATACAATTTTCTCCACAAAAGAAAAAAAATTACTTCGTAATTTCACTCATCAATGAACATTTCAATATTACTTACAACGAGTATACACATGAACATTTCCAACACCAATTAACACCGCCTAAAGGAATATTTTGCACTGACCTATATAACACGCATTACATTCGAACTACGCAGAGACGCATGGACGACGAAAAAAATTAATTCCTCCAATCAGTGGTCTTGATATTGTACAGCTGGTGTGGAGTTCGGTTCCTGGTGCATTCGAGTGCATAACTATGACTCAGAGAATTCTCTCTCGTCGAGAGAAAGAGTTCTTTCTCTCTCTCTCTCTCTCTCTCTCTCTCTCTCTCTCTCTCTCTCTNTCTCTCTCTCTCTCTCTCTCTCTCTCTCTCTCTCTCTCTCTCTCTCTCTTTCTCTCTTTCTCTGGTGATCCGCGGGGCAACGGTGGATAAAAATTACGATCTGAATATATATCGATAGAGAACGTACGTATAGTTGCACGTATTATGCGCGTATGTGCGTCAGATCGCGATAAATCATTAAACAGGCGTGTTTATTGGCCATGCTCGAGCAAATCTCTGGGCTGCCGGTGAATTTATGCTTATGGGCTTGATCTCGATCGGCGATCGATCGGTCGTGACTCGCCGATCGGCAACAGCGGACCTTGCGATCGGCCTTACCGATTTTGGAGAACGACTTTAGCGAAGGGAATAACTGGCAACTTTGTTAAAAAAAAAAAAAAAAAAAAATGGCAATTTTTTTGAAGACGTTCCATTCGGTCTGATTTCTAATCCATTTCCAATCGTTTGGAAGAGCGAATTAAATTTACGTTCGTGAGAAATTGGGTCACGTAGGTTTTACATATTAACTGTGAGGCTGGTATAGAAATCGAATACGATACAATTGAAAAGGAGTGATTCAAAAAGAAGAAATTGAAAATATGGAAGATCTAATTTTAAAATTCGATAAAACGAGTATATTTGTGAGTTGAGAAAGTTATCGTCCCGATTCTCGTGTTCATTCGTGAAAATTTTAATCTTTATCGTATTCAAAGCTTATTATAATCGACTACTTGTTAATGATCCTTCCTTTGTTAGTGAATTTTTAAGTTCCTTTGTTAGTAAAATTGCTTCTAATTCATAAGTTCTAATTACCAAGTGATTTTGGAGAATGGTAGAGCTTTTGATAATTACAATTCATTATGTTCGCGTTATCTCTACGCCACTTGATAATTAATATCAATTGCAAGGAAGTGACAATGATAGTCAATTAACAAAAATTTATTATCGATAATAAATGCATAAAGAAAAAAATCATATATGAAAAAACTACTTGCAAAAAGCTGCGAATTCCAAAGGACAACATTAAAGAAGTACAATTTCGTTCCTCGCGGAAGCCAGTCCTCTGAGTAACCGGTTGACTTTGAAATGGCGGCACGAGAATTGTTTGCGTTTGAGGTTTCAAAGCGGTAGGATCTCCGCTTACAGCAACACAATGGCCCCAACTCTCAAACGATTCGATCGAGCAAACCTTGCGTCTACGTTCCGAAATAAGAACATCCACTGAAACACTTTGCCGCGACCCAAATTTTGTGTTTCGATAAATTGATAAGCCCGTAGTTGATAGAAAATGGCTCGACGAGAATAGGGGCGAGTTTTGCCAGTGTTACCGAGGATCGAAAGAGGTCGAGGGATCATTAGAATTTCATAAAAGAGGATCAGTGTCGATAGAAAGACGCTTTAAATATTAAATCCGTCTCGTAATCCTTCTCTTCTTATTGTTATTATTCTTTTTATAGAGAATCCTGTTCGAGTTTCGTAACATGTTGCAATGCTCCATGAGATTTAATCTTTTGAAAAATTTCTGTACGAGGATTAATACGTGAAATAAGATGAGAATTTGAGGCGAGATAATACGAATAACAAGAAATTGAAATAAATTTAAATGATATTTGTATTATTTATTATTTATGTTCAATAGATAAATGATAGGTAATCATTAAAAGTTATTATACTTTATTTTTATTTATTTATGTTATTTGAAGTATTATTGAAATGCTATCTTTTCTTATATTTCAATGAAAATATTCATTTCGAAATAGTAATATCGAAATACTATTAAAAAAAAAAAAAATTTATTGCAAATATATTATATGAAAAGAAAAATATAATTGTTTCTCTATATCAATTTCAAAAATCTATTTTTTCCAATTTTGGAAATATCCGATTTTTATTTAAAATTATTTCATGTCCTATTGAATTTAAATAGTTATGTAAAAATATTTCCAATTTTAACGTAGATAGAATTATTGTTACACGAATATAAAATTGTAAAAGTTCGCAATATATTTTTTAATAGGAAAAAAAAAAAATGACATAAAAAAGTCATGTTTCTTTCGAAAAAAATATTTTATTTGCAACGAAAATTGAATGAATAATCTAATGGTAAAACGAAAAGAAAAAGTATCCACACAATAAATACTATCAAAAATGGATCAGAGATTTATTGAATTAGCTTAAACAAAGATCAAATAAATATTCTTATAATTAATATTAAATTCGAAGAGAAATCCTTATATTCACATTACGAGAAACAAATCGTTCTATTATATTGTGGAGATGTGTATAGATATAACATTATCTTGTTAACTGGACAAGATTCTTATATCTCGCTAACAGAATCGATAAATTATAAATTACACACTATAGAAATCTCTTTTATAATTCTATTTTTTCACATTTTATCAACT